TGATACTTGATGGATTGATGATTGATTGATTGATTACAATCTGAAAAAAGTGCGTAATTTTTGTTCAACCTGGAGTAGACATATATGGAAAGCTGGAACTTCAGGGCAAAAGTCATGAGAAAAGAAAGAGAATTGATATTTATGGAGCCAGGCTCAGTACGTAGGTATTTTCCTCATGCCCACGGTTTTTTTGACAGCATTTATGAGTCTGGTGACATGGGACCTCAGGGAGCAGGTAGAGAACTGATCAAACCTGGATTACTCATGGGCAGATAATCCAGTTTTTGGTAAAACTAAGGTACGATCTTCCTCTGCTGAATTTAAGACCTGACTCCCTGGAGAACATTCCTCTTTCAGCCTTTCACTAGAGAAAGGTCAAAGGAAGAAGGGACAGATACAAGTCCCACAATAATCCATAAGCAGCTTTCATGGTACACGCTTGATGCACTGAAGAAAAAGAAGTTGCCTAGGACGAGCTTTTCTGGTGGCCGTCACTGAGGCCGTTTGGAGGTATACCCCACTGCCACTCTCAGGCAAGCTGACCGCTTACAGGGCGAGCATAAGTGTCAGGTATACAGACGTGAGAAAATGAGACAACGTTTTTAGTAGAAGAAGGGAAAGAAGATGTATGCGGGGGATAGTTCGGGGAGTCAGTTTCAATTGCCTTCAGAAAGATTACTATGTGCATATTGGACGTGTCAATCTGAAATAAAATGTGATTCCTGGGCACCCACTATCGCAACAGAGTCTAGTTGATGGGACTCAGTAAGGCAGTTTGAAACATCTGCTTTCCCTGTTCAAAGGCCCAAAATCTGCAGACTAAATAATGTGTTAGTCATTCACCGAGGGGGCAGGCCTGTTGGCATTAAAAAACCAGTAGGAAAGCGCACACAGGTGAGCCAGCATGCGCATGCATGTGTGCATACACACACACACACACACACAGAGACTATTTAGCACTCTCTCACACAAGAAAAGTAGACATCAAAATGTTCGCTCGTCTTAAATCACTCAAACCAGGGCCATCTACTTTGTGAGAAAGCTCTGTGACTGTGTCGTACCCCTACCAATAACCATCGTCACCACGTGTTGTCACAGCAAAGGCCACCTGTTTCTGCAAGGAAGGCCTGGAATATATAACTGATGGAGGCAAGGGCTTTTTAATGGAAATATAAGCCTTTAAATAAATAATTGTCTTTTCTGAGCACATTAAAAAAAACATATGTATAAAAAATCATACTGAAAAAATTTATATTCTATGAAATTGTGACACTCACTCATCTAAAAAGCTTTGCTCATTCAAACCAGAGAGATTAATCACAGAAAGGAGATAAAAAAAAAAATTCCCTGAAAGAGAAGGGAAATAATTTAGCAGTAAATCATAGAGCAGGGCTAACATGAATCACGGAAAAAGGTACCAGCTCTTATGATTTAGGTGACATATAAAAAATAGCCCTTCGTGGATTGACAGTTATAGGTATAAATTATAAAATTATTCAGCAGTGGTATGTTCTTTTCTTGCCATTTGTCATTTTGCATCTGATTACTTCTAAGAATTTAATTAAAGGGGCAAGAAAAACGTATAGACCTTTTGTGACTTTAACAATCAGATACCTTTTCAGGCCCTTTTCAAGAAAAATATATGACTACTGTATCTTTTTGCTTCGCCTTTACTAAATGCTCCATGCATCTCTATTTATTTTTCCTCTTTGTATCAATGTAGGCTTGCAAGAAAAATGTATTAAGAAAACATTAAAAATAAAATTCAAAAGCCTCCATTGTTGTTATTAGCAGAGAAATTACTTTAAATATTCACAGAGAGACAATGAATAAGAACAGCTGCTTAACCAATGTCTCCAGATTTATTTTTGAACTAAAAATCAAAGATACTGTACTTGTCTCTCTGCCTCCCCAACTCAAAGTAATGGACATGAGCTGTGTGTATGTATTTCCATGCACACGCACACATGTCCACACACAAGTCCATACGTACACGTGTCCATGTGTACACATATGTATACATATGCACATATGTCCATACACACAAGAACACTTTTCATAATAGCATTATAGACGTTTTTCTCTACCAGAATTATAAATGAAAGCTAGTGTTTAATACAGAAGGCGAATAACATATTTTTTAAATGTTCATAGAAATGCAGTGTTAGCAAAGGGGGACCCATGCATGAACTGTGCTTTAATGTGCCTATGGAAGGTATTTAGTTTCAATTTTGTTTTCTCTTATACTATATATTGTAATGGCATGCCAAGTGAGTTTATACAAAAATATCCTGCAATAAGCTATTCACTATCAAAATTGTTACAAGGAAAATAAAAGTTTCAAGAACTATCGTGACCATTATACAATGTGACCAAGCAATACATCCATAAAAGTACACCTGTGTGTGCATTTTATTTGCAATTAAAAACTGTTAATACTGCAAGCCCAGTTCACAGTCATTTTAAAGTTTTGCTTCAAACAACTTCAATGTTTTAACTGACTAAATTAAAGCTTTTCTGTGTTTCCCCCATCTCCCTGAGCAGAAATTAAATCAGTTTTAATTTATTTTATTTGCTAACACTGTGGATATAATTATTGCTGCTGAGTCTTTTTAATTGTTTTCAACTAGGTGCTTGTCTTTAAGTTGCAATAGACTTCTAATTCCACATTGTTGATATTCCCTTGTTAATTCTGACAAAGCATCATAAATCCAGGTATTTAGGTTTATTGAATTTTGAAATGAGGTGATTAGTTGGAGCATGGATGAATGAATTGATGCAAAGCAAAATGAATTTTATGATTTACTATGCTTTACAAGTTCCCTTGGAACCATTATGTGCAAATTGTAAAATGTATTAAGAGGTAAGATATCACGTTTATAATCAACTTGGCAAATTTCACTCAAGTAAAGATATTCAAGCATTCTACAAAAGAGTCACTGTTGAGTAAGTGTTTGGCATACACAATTAATTTTCGCTGTGTTGTCTCACAACTCTATCATTTATGAGCCTAAGAGGCTAATGTATAAGATGGCAGAGGCTTTGTAATCAACACGGAGCACAATGCTGTGCCATGTTTTAGGGTTTTAGGTTGTAGTCTAATGTTCAAGGTAATTACCAGCTCAAAGTTCTAATAAGATGCCTGTAACTGAGCATTTTACTTTAAAACAAAAGGTTCATCACATATTCCCTCCTTGATGGAGTCCGTAAGCACGTGGCTTGTACTTTATTGCTCTTGTGGCATACAATCCATGCATTTAACTCAGTGTTACAGTTGTGAAAAAGTGTGCCCTTATGTCCATTAACACAGTTAATCTAGGTGGGAAATATTAGCATCGTGCTTTCACAGTAGCACTGAAGATCTCAGGTGGGTCAGAATCTGTGACTGGAACGAATAGGCAGGTGTGAACGACATGGTGTGCCGGGCATCAGGAGGTCTTTGCTGCTACGGGAAGCTGGCATTAGGAGTGCATCTCTTTTGTTTTGCTTAATAATATTAAACCCCTTGGCAAGACAGCAGCCTCCTAGAAGCTCTATGAGATCAGCTGTACCGAAAGATGCTGGCTTTGCCTAGAAGTTGGGAGGCTAGGACACGGAGTTCAGTTCTTGAAGAGGCACCGCAGGAGAGAGCTCTGGGAAGGGAGGGAGACCCCTGTGGACCCGGGGAGAGGAGGGCAAGCCTGGGGTGTGCTTGTCCTTGTTCCCAGGCCCAGTCATCCACTACTCTACTTAGACAATCCGCAGTAAATCAGATGCACCACCCCTTTCTGTCCCAGACAAGCTACCAGCTCTCACATTTGGTGCCATGCAATATTCATCCGTTATAACCATTTTAACTGCACATGATCTGTAGAGAAGTACACTAGAGTTAAGAGTAAACTTGTCACTCTAAATATCCCTTTGCAAATTTAAGAGGTTGTGTCTACTGGGTTAAAAACCAGAATATTCACTGTGCTATGACTTGTCTGAAAGGCTTCTCAAGCCTTCAGAGGTGACCTGTCAGGTTTATTTGTTTCTAATCAAATCCATCATTCATAATTTTTATTTCTTGTGTGTGTTAATTACCCTTGACAGTCCATTCCTTAGCCACCCAGTGGCGAGGGCTCCGAGTGCCCGGTGAATTCCCATTATACATGAATGACCTTGTAGCCATCCAGGAAGAATGCAGTGAAATGGTCTCCTGACTTTGACTTCGGAAAAGAGGCAGAGAGCCGAGTTATTTTTGTTCTCAGGGAACAAAAAGGAATCTTCTGGAATCCTCACTTGTAAGCACCAGAAACTTAGCGTTTGGGAATGTGAGTCCCTCTGTGGGAGTCTGTGTCCCTTCCCCAGAGAGCTCCCCCAGGTGCCCAGGTCGGCATCAGCATGCACCCTCTGGAAATCCTACTTTTAGGCATAGGGACTGAGAATTGCTTCTCTGTGCATAGAACAGAAAGACTGAGAATTACCTTGGAAGTAACAGGCACTAGGAGAAGTTTGATTGACTTATTAGGTTTTCTTGGATAAACCCATACTCAGCAATGCTATTTGATGAATTTGTGCTCTATTTTCAGACCATGGTATTCTGGGGGTGATCGGAGTCCAGTAACTAAGAACACAAAGTCTGCAGTCAGACTGCCCAGGCATCTTAGACAAGTCAATCACTCCAAGGTTTCACTTCTTTATCTAAAATGGGATAATCATAGCACCCATTTCACAAGATTGTGTGGAGAATGACTGAGATTATTCTATTTTTCCAAATCCTTAGAAGAGTGCCTTAACTGTGGTATGATTTCAGAGGAATCAACTGCTATTAATTGGGGTGTGGGGTGGGGAAAGAGTTGAAGTAAGTTAGTCAGAAAGGGACTAATGCACAAAAAGAACCACAGCCGACATCAGAATAAACTGAGATTTGTTTCCAGGTCTGCTACAGACTCAAGTTAACACCATAAAATATCAAATCCACTTATCAGTTTTTTGTAAAACTTCATTCTAGTTTATTACATAACTATGGATAGCAGCACTAACATTTCTTGGGTACCCACCCCTAGGCTGTGTGTAAGCATATAGGGATAAATAAGAGACAGTCCTTAACTTGCGAGGAGTTAACAGTCTGTTGGGGACGTCCACACGTAACTCAATAATCGAGATCCAGTGTTGACTTCAGTGAGCTTAGCGTGTGGCAGAAGCGCTGTGTGCCTCCCGGCTGGAGAGGGGGCTGACCTTTGAGACGGCTTGCTGGAATGGAGCAGACCCCTGTGCTCTGACAGCAGCCAGCTTGTCCAACCCAACCTTCTCTCTTCCTCGGTTCTTTTATCTATTGAGAGAAAATAAAATGTTTGTCACTGGTGTTGTAACATGAGATTCTGCCATCCTAGAAGAAAGATACTCATCGTCACCCTTGGGATTATTCCATCTGCCTCTCTGTCACCTTAATTCCAAAACCAAGCTGCTGCAAAGTCGTTACTTACTCTCTCCATGCTCTTCAATCCAAGCCATCATTAAGATTAATTTCATGTTGATGCTATTTTAAGCACTTGTCTCCCTGCAGAAAACATGGAAAATACAAAATATGATAAAATGGTCGTTTCTTACCACTCTATCCATTATAATTAACGAGTTATTTTCAACATCCTAGAAAATGCAATGTACCTAATAAGTAATTTTTGCCAGTGAATTATTTATTCACTTGATTATATAATAGCATAATCTGGCTTCAGAAATGTCTTGAAAAAATATATGCATAACTAAAGATGACTTCTGGGTCCATTAAACTCTAACACTGTCTCATAATCCGGGATTTCCATGAAGGCAGTTTAGCAAATAGACTCAATTCTTGGGTACTAGAACCAAAGGAGGGGAGCAGTGCTGTGAACAATTCAAATCTCAGTGTAATCCCTAAATCAATTAAATATGCATTCAAATGTGTTTTTATCAGTTACTGTATACTTAAACCTGGTATTTCGAATATTTTGGGATTTCACAGAGGAGTAAGCAAAACAATGCAATGCTGAGATTTTTGTTGATGACTCAGTTTTGCTTTCTTTCCTCCCACTGGGACTGACACCTCTTCCCCCAGTCCCTGCTGTCTGTTGGGAGTGACACTCTCACTTCCGGTATTGACGCTGAAGGTGAAGCTTCCCTGTGCATTTCTTTCTTCATACCTTCTTTAGGGCAGGGAGATAAGTGGTTTGGTTGGAAAGACTTCTAGCCTCTGTGCCAGAATAAGCAAAAATTCTTTTATGTAACCCGGTACATCATTAAGCAGAGAAAGTAACTTTGTAGATTAAAAAAAAAAAAACAAAAACCTTTTTTGGGGGAACTGCTAATCTACCCCATAATAGAGACTTGGCCACAGCTATGGCCAGTTTGCTCGGGACGATGGACAATTTATGCCAGGGGATAGTCAGTGATACTGGTCATCTTCTTTCTGTAATCTAAGCACATTCTGGAAGAAAGAACTGTTCTTATTTTTATTTTTTTTAATGGAGGGGGTTAACATGACACTTAGATGCACATCTGAATATAATTATACTATTCTGGAAATTTTATTTGGAACAATAACTGGAAGTAAAACCACGTGTAAACAAGATCCCTAAAGCTGGACATGTGTTCACATTCCCACAGACTATTATTTCGGCATTTCATGACAATGCAATGTGGTGAATTATAAGACTGGTGGGATTGCAGTACAGGTATCAATGTATATTAAGAACTAATGGAATGAGACATTTTAGCTGACAGAGCCACAGGTTTATGGCACGTATAATAGAAATCTTGCAATGATAAAGCCTGTTGCTGTGGAGTGCTAGCACACAGCAGAGAGAAGGCCACACTTACTTCCACTGCTACCTCTCACCCCTCTCTCTCCTTCTCCCTCATCAATACTTCCTTTATTACCTGACATTTATTCACCAATGTATTGGACAACGGGGAAGTTGTCTCCCAAAGGCCACATTAATATACTGCACACATGAAAGATGGATGGGGAAAGCCTGCTAATCTCGTCAATAAACATATTAACGTGAAACATTGTGTCCTAGTAACACCATAGATTTACGCACATCTCATTACAACACCACAAAAACCCACATGGAGTGCTTTAACTCATTCCTCTTCATGTGTTCCTAAAAAAATCCGGTTAGGTAGACCTCCAAGTCAGAGGCCAAATTGGATGTATTTTTATCTTCTCAATGCCTAGCACAGCTTCCGGATCATAATAGGGCACACAGTCCACAGGTAGTTACCCAAACTGACTGACCGTGACTTTCATTTGATGTATGAAAGACAGACGCCCAAGAACTTAAGGGTTCAGGCTGTCCACTAGAGAGATGCCGAGGCAGACACTGAACTCAGAACTTCGGACCCTGGCCTCAGGCCCTTTGCATGTCAGTGCTCTGACCCCATCCAGGCACAGAGGTGAGGGTGCCAGAAAGCGGGTAGAGTCCTTGGAACACCAGAGGACAAGGGGGCAGTGCCTGATAACGGAGGAGGAAGGGCGGTGTCAGAAGCCAGATCTCATGGTTTTTTTCCTTTCTGTCTCTCACAGATTCCCTCCCTGTGGGAAATTTATGTAGAGAAAAGCTCCTTGGCATCAAAATATATAACAAGAAGTATCTTTAAGACCTGGAATAGACCATGGAGAGTGTCAGGGATCTCCAGAATCATATCTCAACAGGCCTTTGCTGGGTTTTGGCCTTGGGCACTTTGTTGATATCTTTGAGCCTCAGTGTTCTTATTCACAAAAGGAAGATGCATTATGTTCTATCTTAAGCACTTTCTGACTTTTTTTTCTAAAGATTAGGATCAGAAAGGGCACCTGACACAGTACACTGCACAGTAGGCTTTCCATAGATGCCAGCTTCCCTCCCTGTGGTTCCATTCCCTGCCCCTCTCCCTACCCATTAGGAGCCCTTGCTTGCTAATAATGGTCTGTCAACTGCTCTGAGCCTTTTACAAAGCAGAACAGTGGCCTCAAGAATTTTCAAAGAAAACTGTCTAGGCCCAGGGCAGGCCTGGTCTCTGTCCCAGAGTGGACAGGTGTTGCACGAGGGCCTGTCTACCAGGCCGTGCATGGGTGAGGACACGGGTCTTCCCATCACGTCAGGCTGACTTAGGCCACGCTTAAGGTCTTTTCCATTGAAGCTGTGAGATGCCCGGAGTGCATCACTCCAACGTCTTCCTTTCCTCTTCCTTGTTGTATAATGTTATGTTATAGTGCAGATCCCACTCCATTTGTATCATCAAACATAGTTGAATTAAATGTGCAGGATAACAAGGTTTCTCAGCAGATTGTGTTCCCTTGAATATTAATGTCTAAGAGTAAAAAAGGAAGAAACTAGCATCTATGGAAAGCCTACTGTGCAGTGTACTGTGTCAGGTGCCCTTTCTGATCCTAATCTTTAGAAAAAAAAGTCAGAAAGTGCTTAAGATAGAACATAATGCATCTTCCTTTTGTGAATAAGAACACTGAGGCTCAAAGATACCAACAAGGTGCCCAAGGCCAAAACCCAGCAAAGGCCTGTTGAGATCTGATTCTGGAGATCCCTGACACTCTCCGTGGTCTATTCCAGGTCTTAAAGATACTTCTTGTTATATATTTTGATGCCAAGGAGCTTTTCTCTACATAAATTTCCCATAAGCCGTGCATTTAGAAACTTTATTTTTAAAAATCACTCTTGCATACTCTAAATAGGGACAGTTTTGCAGAATAGTAGCACCTTATTCCATGGTCCCACGGCCTTAATAAAATTACATTTTTGGTTTCAGGATTACATGCTGAAAGCAACTGGACCAGAGAAAAGAAATTGTAGCACAGTAGTAGAAACTAGCGACTCAAGATTCTGATCTCAAATCTGCCAGAGTAGCAGTAAGAACTCAGCAAATCACCTAATTTCTTTAGGCCTCAATTTCCCATCCAGTATAATCAAGATGATCTTGAGCGTGCTGTCTGGTTCTAGAAATTATCTATACATTTTAGCAATCTGTCATTTAAAAAAATGACTTTCAATTATCCATTCAGTGCCTAATTTTACCTTCCTTAAAAAAACAAAAAAAAACTCAGGAGTATAAATCGGTTATTTGATGTTCCCTCTAATATGATTTACTGATACTAGCCTGATGAAGGATCTCAGTGAAAATTGCTTCCATTTAATTTGTTTTTTTGGGAAACAGAGCATAAGTGAAGCTATTTTGCTACGGTTTAAATGATGGAAAAATAAGTTTGTCTTAAATTAGAAGAACAAAGAGAATACTGTTGAAAAAAAGTTGGAAGTATCAACACGTGGTCACGTTAGGGGCTCAGTGAGTTAGGGTGCCCACCCCAGTCTCCATTCAAGATTCAGGCCTGTAGACAATAGTGATATGAACATACTCTAGCTGTGTTATTAAAACATTTCATTATACAACCTACAGAAAATAATTAGCTGAAGACTTTCTCACAGTTGAGATAGGTGCAAAATACAAATTCCTTCAAACGGAGAAAGGAGTTTAGACCGAGCACTCTTGAGTGTATTTTTTTTATGCAGTTTCCCTTTAAGGCTTCAAATGAGAGATGTATGTACTGTCAGCTCACATAGACACACTTTTGTTTCCTTTTGTGAAAAAGCAAATCTTTATAGACATCTTATCTGAAGACTAACAATTGCAGAAGGAATATTGGATATGACCTCTGAGACAATTGGCACCTCCTAGTGTAGCCCCCATGATTAATGAATAGCTGCCTGACTAATATGGACTTCAGTTCAGAGGAGGATTAACAATCAAGGCTTCTGAAGACTTTTTTTTTTCCTTCTTGGAACAAAAAGATCATTGATAGATGAGTCTGGTATCATAACGAGTCATGTCCATTTCTTTCACTTTGTTTTAATCTTCCTGTAGACTGCTCCCCAAATCAGAAAGAAAAGGAGGAAAATAAAAATTCCCTTGAAAAGTTTAAAAGTGGCCCTCCAGCATGACCAGTCCATTATTCCCATTCTGAACAGGGAGCGTTTCCAATAAAGTACACACTGACCACCCAGAACAGCGTTGCCAGATTGTGCGCATCATGTGTGGGAAAATGAAACGCTCATGAAAATTGCCTCCTTGGAGTGAATGTCAGCATTTCTGAGTTTGATTTGTATTTTATTTCAGAGTCTATTTTTTTTTTCTGCAAGAAAGCATTCCTAACGGAAGCGGGTGACAAAAAAAGATGTGTTAATTTTTTGCATCTCAGGAAACCGTTTATTTTTTATTTTAATCAAGTTAAATCAAGAATCAATTCCTTCTAAATGAAGTTGTAGATTCTACTCATGCAAAACAGGAATCAGCCTGCTAAAATTCATGGGCTATGAGGGGAAGAGAGAGTATGTATTGGTATGTGATCTCACTACACCTTGACTTTGCCACTGTTTCTTAGTTAATCCAGGACATTCGGTTTTGGGTGTCACTTTCGTTGCTGCTTTACCTGCTCTTGTATATCTGTCAACTGAAATTGAGTATTTGAGGTGAAGCCTAGAACTCTTAATGAAATATTTAATCTCATCAAAAATGATCATCTTTTCCCCT